AAGTCGCTCCAGACCGAACTTCAGCAGAACGAAATGAGCAGCACATCTTTCCTGGGCCGCGACAGCGCTCTTTGCGATCCGAGTGTTAAGCAAGTACACGGTTATTTTAGTGGCAGTTCTGGAAGGAGGTGATCGTTTCTCGATCGCCATTACCACACACGAGGAGTCGTATTAGGCTATTCTTTTGGTTCTTCGAATCTCGCTCCGACCCAGCCCAAGATCCTCTCGTTCTCTGGCTCCAAGGGGGGCCTGGCTGCAGCAGCATGTCAGGACTCTTCACAGAAAACGGACCTTGCAGGGTAAATGAATATGGAAATGACACCAAAACTAACCCGTGAGGAGCACCTCTCACTGACTTTCCTGATGAGAATAGGTTGACTGTCAGATACTCTTGGAACACACGAGCCAACCTTCTTTATGTCGACCAACCTGCAGGAACAGGATTCTCGGTCGGGCCGTTCGTAAACAATGGCTCATTTGAGGCTGCCGACGACTTGTAGGACTTAGATAGATGCTTATCGTATCAATGATATGGAGTCATTGATGTGTATGCAAAACTACGTTGGAAGGTACATGGCCCTACAGGAATTCTTCGCTGAATATACCCAGTATGGAGGCAAAGATTTCTACATCACCGGGGAGTCATATGCTGGTAACCGTGACAGATTACCGAAATATCAGCCTAACTACTCAGGTCACTACATACCAGCCATAGCTCATAAGATATGGCGTGAGAACACTAAAGGGATCAAGCCTCATATCAACCTTCGTGGACTGGCAATCGGGAATGGATGGATGAATGCTGCAATCCAGTATGCTTCTGCAATGGGGACGTCATGAGATCATTCTACTTCTCCCAGAGTCCTCGACTACCCAGCGATGGCCTTTCAGAGCTGTACTGCTCCACGCGTCGTAACGTACTATGAGTACGACATTAATACACAGTTCGTCGTGGATAATTTTCGTTAGGTATGTGAAGATGAGCAGAGCCGTTCATGAGTGCGTGACAAGTATACCTCGCTGCTTGAAGACCAGAAACGTCTCAGGTCCTTT